CCTTCCTTCCTTCCCTCCCTCCATCCTTTCCTTTCTTTCATCCCTCCCTCCCTCCGTCCATCCATCCACCCTTTCCTTCCTTCCTTCCCTCCCTCCATCCTTTCCTTTCTTCCATCCCTCCCTCCCTCCATCCATCCACCCTTTCCTTCCCTCCCTCCATCCTTTCCTTTCTTCCATCCCTCCCTCCATCCATCCATCCACGCTTTTCTTCCTTCCTTCCTTCCCTCCCTCCTTCTTTTCCTTCCTTTCTTCCACCCCTCCTTCCTTAATGGGACAGCTCTCATTCCCAAACTAACTATATACTGTTTAAACAGCACAAGAAACTACCAGGATAAACCAAACACGTTTTCTGTCACTTTCCTGTTGTTCAAATCCACACATTACTTTTTCGGGCATTAAATTGGTTTCTGAGATCACATTTATAAACTAGGAAACAGGCGCCTCCCAGTTTGCAGCCTCGTGCTCTAACCACTGCACCAAAATTATCTCTGGAGTGATGTAAAATAGGGGATTTGCAGATTTAAGGACAATATCCTTCTCTGTAATTTCAATTTTAACAAAATTTTACTTTTTTTGTAGGCCGTGCTTACGTTTTGTAGGTTGTTGGGTTCGTGCTTTCTTTCTTTCTTTTTTTTAAACATCGCTGGACTTTGGACTGAAATAAAAAGAGGCCTTTTTTAAAAAAAGAAAAAACCCAAGATCCTAGTCCTCAAGGTTAAAGAGGCCGAGGAAAAGAACGTGCTGCAAATCTCCCAGGACAAGTCCGTAGATATGCCCGTCGTTCGTGAAGAGACAGCCGGGCCTGCCCAGGGGTAGGAATCTGTCTCTACCAAGAGGTCATCTTCAAAATAATGTGGTCTCCATCTTGTGGGGTGTATTCAGCAATACCTGAGAAGCAGAAAGGCAAACACCTCGTTGCTGCTATGAGGAGGAAGGAATCGGGGAAATCTCCAGGGTTGCCCCAGGGAATATTCCGGCTATCGGGGGGATAAAGAGAATCTTTGTAGCTCAGGGTTGAAATGAGAAGTCCTGGGTGCTCTCTGAGCTCGGTTGTTTTCCTGCAGACGCCTCATGATTCTCGACCCTTAATGAATGTCTCTTTTCTTTTATGTACACTGAGAGCTTATGCACCGAAGACAAATTCCCTGTGTGTCCAATCACACTTGGCCAAGAAAGAATTCTATTCTATTCTATTCTATTCTATTTTGTTCTACTCTACTCTACCCTACTCTACTCTACTCTACTCTACTCTATTCTAATGATTTATATTGACTGTTTCCTAGTATGATTTGATTGCTTATTATACCCTATGACTATCATTAAGTGTTGTACCTGATGATTCTTGACTCTTGAGGATTGGATCTTTTCTTTTATGTACACTGAGAGCATTTGCACCAAAGACAAATTCCCTGTGTGTCCAGTCACACTTGGCCAATAAAGAATTCTATTCTATTGTATCCTTCTCCTTCCCCGTCTCCTCCTCCTTCTTCTCCTTCTCCTCCTCCTCTATCTCCTCTTTCCTTTTCTCCTCCTCTCTGCAAACCCCACTCCCTTCTAGCACTGATGATGCTACCTAGCTGGGTCATGAAACATCTGCAAGAAAACCACCCAGCCCAGAGAGCACCAAGGACCTCTCATCTTTGGGGACAGCCCCTCAAGATTCACTCCAACTGAGAAATTACGGACCGTCTCGTGATGTGAACTGGGATGACTTTGACAGGGGGGGGGTCTGGAGGAAGTTCACGGGTCCTCTGGGCTGCCTGATTGAACCAGGCGGGGTCCATGTTGGGGTGTCAGCCCCATAAGTGTGGAGTTTTCCCAGGTGACATCTTGGAGCACCCCTGCAACCTGCCCCACAACCCAACATCCAGCCCTCACCTTGGTCCAAACTGCTGTTGGGATGCCGCAGAATCCTCCAATATCTGCGTTCGCCTTCTTGTGGCCTCTCTCCCATCACTCCCGTCAGCATGGGGCCGGAGAGGGTTTTCTGGGTCTCATACCTGTTTCCCACACACACCCCAAAAAAAGAGAACTGACATCTAAGGCATTGCTGGACTAGGTCCAAGACAAAATTTTTGCAGGAACGAGACAATCCAAATTACAAAGATAGCGGAATTCTCTAGGAATTCTCTAGTTAAATTCATTGATTAATTCTATTTCGATTTGACACCAAGCTAGAAACCAGGAGGCTGGGAGCTCTAGTACCACCTTTGGCATGAAAGTCAGCTGGGTGACTCTAGGCCAATCACCAGGAACCAGAGTTCTAGTACCACCTTAGACATGAAAG